AAGTTGGCCGATGTTCCTTACATGGGATGTTGAGTGATCATCATTACCGGATGTAAAAAAATACTTTAAAAAAATTCACGTCTTTTTAAAAAAACTTAAAGTCATTCCTCACATACTTTTGAGTTTGTGTTTTGTACTGTCTGAAGGTTTTTTATTTAACAATAATGCGAAATATTCATAATAATCACTAACAGTCGGACACGTCAAATCATATAAGTTAACCGTTCGGTTTCCTGGCGCTCTCCAAGTTGACATCACCTTGTTAATAAAGCCGTGCTGTGATTCAGAACCACTGTCTATGCCTGGCCGTTCGCTAAAGAACGTAATGCGAGTATCAGCCACAATAATAAGCTGTCAGACAGATAGTACATGCGGAACTGACAAGGTCATAGTTGAGACATATCTGAGAAGCTAAATAATTTGAAGAGATTAGGAGGTCATTATCTAGCTCGAAGTGAATGCTTCGCTTTATCAACAGTTCCTCCGATGGCTCTATCCTGCCCCTATTACGCGAGTCGGAACAGAGCGTATGTCTAGACCGAATATAATAGATTTTCTATTATGATCTCCTCAGGAGAAGGGAATTTGTATATTGCATCCATAATGCAATGCGACTGGTTATTTTATCTGCAGAAGCATCATGCGACTTTATCTGTAGATATTGTTTATGAATTATTGCAAGTATCGATGTATCGATCTGTGGTTTTAAAGGGGAGACACGTACTTGCGTTACTTTTCCGTGGCGAAAGCGGTTTGAATCCCACGCACTCTCTCATTCAGCCGCATATTGGTGGAATCTCAGTGTGAGTGAGTGAGTTGGGTTTAACGCCGCTTTGAACAGTACTCCAGTTATATCACGGCAGGTCTCAGACGCTTACCACTTCGGTGAAACCCACGAGTACGGGTATGGTGCTGACAAACCTAGAAACATAATCGGGGCGAACCGGGATTCGAACCCACAATCATAGGTTTCTGGCGTGCCCAAGGAACGCAACTCTGCACAGCGAATCGCGGCGCCTTAGATATTTGGGTCACCCGTGCCTCCTGGAATCTTAGAGCAGACACGCAACTAAATAAAATTATTTAAAAAAAATGAAAATTTTAAAGGACATTAAATTAAATTAAATATAAATTAAATTATACAAATTGTTGCGGTCGCTACCGGTAGAGCAGGACATGCTCATTGCTCCCCCGTTTCGCGAACACCTGTGCCAAATTGCACAAAGCGATCTTAGCGCTAAGATGATCGTAACTCCAATACTTTAGCATTGGCTTACAATAGTCTTAGCGCTAAGATCGCTTTGTACAAGTGGGCCCTGGTGTCATCACTAACTTTCAATGATCCGTTCATATATTTTTTACTACATTTTTTTGTCTTTTACGCCCTATGGAATCTGTTTGGGAAAATAATCTAGACTGATACTTCTCTGGCGTTGAGGTTTTGTATTTATTGCGTATAGATAACAATAACCTTTAGGCTAATCATATTTAAAAACTTAAACGATAAATATTGACGAATATGTATGGTAAGAACTGGAACTAATATTCAAGATAAGCTCTATTTATAGTCTTTTCATTACATATTGAATTAATTTATTTCAAATATTTATGTTTTTCAATCCTGCGAAGAGACCCGGGTGTGATTTGATTTTTAAATCAATAATGGTTTTTACTATCTTGGGAAACATTATACTAATTTCAGGGCTGGGCATGTTTCTTCCAGGAAAAAGATCTGCCATAAATGTGCTTGTGATATATATCAGTATCTGAAGAACATGTAGCACATATGGTGTCTAAATGGGCAAGTTATTTTTTTCGAAATGTGCCTCTTTTCACCCAGAAGAGGGTGGTGCCCGAATAAGATCGTAATGTGACTGTTTTCCTTCTAGAGCCTAACAGGTATCTTGGGTTGTATTCTCCCCAGGGCGGTGAGACGTAAAATCAAGTGCAGACTGATCTTTGATCGGGGTAATTATAAAATTAATTATTATTAAAAAGAAACTTTAATATATTTTATCTCAGGATGATCCTTTTTCACGAACAGCCAATGAAAATAAAAACTCAAACAAAAAAAAGCAACAGCTCCTTTAATGATATATAAGCGTTCCCCAAAGTAATCGTCCAGAATGCAGAGTTTCCGGTATAATGGGGTTTATCTGTTTATCGGGGTTTACACATTCCGGACATCTACTGGTAGGAACTTTTTTTTCGGTATTCAAAGATCATAACTCTATACGCCGAAGACCCGGGTTCGATTCCCGACATGGGTACAATGTGTGAAGCCCATTTCTGGTGTCCCCCGCCATGATATTGCTGGAATATTGCTAAAAGCGGCGTAAAACCATACTCACTAACTCACTCATAACTTCGTTATTCAGGACAGTTGTTAATCCAGACGATTTCACGGACAACGGATGAACTGTTCATGTATTTTCCTATAACTTTAGTTTGTCATGTCAACATCACACGGCTCCGGTGCAGGGTCACCGCCAGTGTCTGTGTTGAACTTTTAGCAAACGGGTGGTGTCATTTGATGTTGTGTAACGCCCATTGCTCGTCAGTTTTACACTGGCTCTGTAAATACTCACAGTAGCTTGTAGACATAGCGTTAAGCTTGGCCTGATCCAAATGGGTCGTGACCACGCATGGTTAACATATATATGATCCACGGGGCAGGCGTCAGGAACGCCCATACCCTGACGTCACAACGGGGAGGTTTGTAGGAAGGGAGGATAGGATGGATAGATTTGTTTGTTGTTTTACGCCGCAGTCGGTCTGTAAAGTAATCGAGTCTGGACCAGACAATCCAGTGATTGACATCATGAGCATCGACCCACACAATTGGGATACGATTACATGCATCGAGCCTCCCTATCCCGTTAGTCGCCTTTTACGGCAAGCATGGGTTGCTGAAGACCTATTCTACCCCGGATCTTCACGGGTCGAGTGAGTGAGGGAGTGAGGTTTTACGCCGCTTTAGGCAATGTTCCAGCAATAACACGGCGGGGGACACCAGAAATTGGTTTCACACGAGACATTAAACACAGTGAATCTCATTTCCTACATCGATTAGTACATCAGGAATATTTCGAGTTAACAATGGTTCGAGACAAACGGATTACCGATATTGGACTTTGTTCGTACAATAGCGCTGCGTTGCTTTAAACGACGTATCGATTTCATAAGTTCGTGTTAACGCCTGTTCATCGTACCTTCGGGGTGGTCGGGTAGCCTAGTGGTTAAAGCGTTGGCTCGTCACTCCGAAAACACGGGTTCGATTCCCGACATGGGTACAATGTGTGAAGCCCATTTCTTGTGTCCCGCGCCGTGATATTGCTGGAATATTGCTAATTGCGACGTAAAACCATACTCACTCACTCACTCATTGTACCTTCAAATACCTTCTTATTATTATTCATGGGGTCCGTTCCACAAAGCTGTCGTTGTCGTAAGGTACTCGTAGCTCCCATACTTTAACATACACCTGCGACTGTCGTTGCGCTACGGCCGCTTTATGGAACCGGACCCTGGTGTTGAGAGTGAGTGAGTGAGTGAGTATGGTTTTACGCCGCTTTTAGCAATATTCCAGCAATATCACGGCGGGGGACACCAGAAATGGGCTTCACACATTGTACCCATCGATGTCTTCGGCGTGACGAGCGAACGCTTTAACCACTAGGCTACCCGACCGCAAACAAACAAACAAACAAACAAACAAAGCATAACCTGTTTTTTGGAATGAATTTGTTATTTACGTATTTAAGCAGTAAGCATCAGAATAAAGAAAATCAGGAATATAATCGTATAGTCGGCATCACGTGTAAAGGCTTGAAGCAATGAGTGAGTGAGTGAGTGAGTGATTGAATGGGTGAGTGGGTGTGTGGGTGGGTGGGTGAGTGAGTGAGTGAGTGAGTGAGTGAGTGAGAGCATGTCCTGGTATTTTGTCAAATACGTTCCCCTTTACATACGTTCCGTTACTTCTTGCAATCAGCATATATCGACTGTTGTGTAGTAGAAACGTGAGTTTTAATTCTTCTCTCCTCATACCAAAACGTAAAATTCCGGTCATATCACAGCTATACTTGGTTCATTCGAGACAAAACCAACGTCTTTAAATAGTTCTTCGAAAAAAAACCAGTTGTTCAAAGTGAAAGAAATAAGTCGTCACATCATGATAGATAATATGTCACATATTTAACAATATTTTTTACGGTCTTTTCAAATATTACAACGGTATAAGATCTAACGCGGACTGCTATTTTGTAAACTCGCATCCATATATGACATACGGATATCATCATGGTCTCCGCTGTAATGAAAACGGTCAAATTTCTGATTTAGCTCGACGTCTTATTCGTTATTCGTTTCTACAAATTAAATTCCACTATTTTTAGTCTTAATGGCACATTTGAAAGTAGGGCTCAGGCGTGTTGATTAGAAATATTCATGCGCTTAGCGGCAGGATAAAGTTTGAGACGCAATTAGTTCCACGTTTGGCTGAAGGAAACGTATCAGTGTCAGCTGACCATATCTCGTGACGTCGCCAGATGAAAAAAGAAAAATGGATTATTTAGAGACAATTTACTTCAACATAACAACATCAAGAACGTTAGTATCGTTCCGCTTTGGATATTTAGACTTCTTTACATTGTCACAGTTTTAGATTTAATCCTGTGCTATATACGGAGATGCATAATTTATACATCATAACGCATATAGAAAAGTATGTATACCCATCATTGACGTCTTCAAAAGACAGTGAGCACGTTTATACATATGTGCTATATATACACACCAAGATTCACCCTGCAGTGCAGACATACGGCAAACATCAGAAACTGTCGCACTGTCTTTTTCAAATTAACTTCAGCGTCCGATGTTTACTCCGGACTTAAATAAACAGGGACACGATCAATGCACTTCGACCCAATAAACAAACAACCTCATTGAAAAACTAGGAAGTGTTTAGCACGTGACTCACTAAGATATTGGTGTTTCAGATACCTGTTACCTGGACACACACCTGGAGTCGGGGGATGCTGAGCTTAACCTGCGGGTAAGTAAATCATAATACTACAAGATGATGACTAGAATGATAAAGACTTAAAATTTACAAGTCACTTTCAAATTCGCTTTTACTAAAAAAAACATATATATATATACGTTATCATTTTCGTGGACTCGTTACTTGGATTCGTGGTGTGGACTAACGCTGTTTGTTTTACAGTCTTACAACAAGTTTTCCCTGTAAACAATGCGTTATAGATTAACCGCTTGGGCTTGCTGGGGTTTGTGAGTTGTGATGGAACATATCGACTTTTGTTATTTGTCCCGTCTGGTTTGTATACATATTTACATCAAATACGTTGGTAACGTTCCTTGTCGCTCACACTCCCACGCGTTGCTTGCGAACACCCGGTGTCATCACTATTTAGCGGTGATCCATTCCTAGGTTTCACCGCTATTTTGACTTTACGCGCGATGGCATCTGTCGGATAACACCAGGTGTCATGACTATTTAGCGGAGATCCATTCCTAAGTTTCACCGCTATTTTGCCTTTACGCGCGATGGCATCTGTCGGATAACACCAGGTTTCATGACTATTTAGCGGAGATCCATTCCTAAGTTTCACCGCTATTTTGCCTTTACGCCCGATGGCATCTGTCGGATAACGCTGGTCATCCTGGTGTTGACGTTTTAGATATAGGTTGCGTCAGGAAGAATCTGTGATGCGCCGATATGAGCAGCATTGCAATATTGGTCTTCATACACTGCGCCTGTGAAGGATTCGACCTCAGTGTTGTGAAGCAACCACGCTAACCTACATACTGTACAATGAGAATATGTCCTGTCTTTAGTTAGGCACTGTCCTTATCATGAAGGTATGTCCTTATCATGCAGGTATACCCTTATCATGAAGGTATATCCTTATCATGAAGGTATGTCCTTATCATGAAGGTATGTCGTTATCATAAAGGTTTCTCCTTATCATGAAGGTATGTCCTTATCATGAAGGTATGTCCTTATCATAAAGGTTTCTCCTTATCATAAAGGTTTCTCCTTATCATGAAGGTGTGTCCTTATCATGAAGGTATGTCCTTATCATAAGGCTTCTCCTTATCATGAAGGTGTGTCCTTATCATGAAGGTATGTCCTTATCATCGAGGTATGTCCTTATCATAAAGCTTTCTCCTTATCATGAAGATGTGTCCTTATCATGAAGGTAGGTCCTTATCACAAAGGTTTCTCCTTATCATGAAGGTGTGTCCTTATCATGAAGGTATGTCCTTATCATGAAGGAATGTCCTTATCATAAGGTATGTCTTTATCATAAAGGTTTCTCCTTACCATGAAGGTATGTCCTTATCATGAAGGTATGTCCTTATTATGAAGGTATGTCCTTATCATGAAAGTGTGTCCTTACCATGAAGGTATGTCCTTATCATGATGGTATGTCCTTATTATGAAGGTATGTCCTTATCATGAAAGTGTGTCCTTATTATGAAGGTATGTCCTTATCATGCAGGTATGTCCTTATCATGAAGGTATGTCCTTATCATGAAGGTAAGTCCTTATCATTAAGGTATGTCCTTATCACAAAGGTTTCTCCTTATCATGAAGGTATGTCCTTATCATGAAGGTATGTCCTTAGCATAAAGGTTTCTCCTTATCATAAAGGTATGTCCTTATCATTAAGGTATGTCCTTATCATGAAGGTATGTCCTTATGTTTATATGGCAACATCAGATGTTCATATGACACCCCTACCGTCAGCACAGCATGGAATACTTGTACATGGTTCTATTTTTTATATTGTAATTTGATTGAAAGGTTTTGAGGTTTTTTTAAAAATCGCATAATACAGAACTGCGGATGGGTATCTTAGACATCCTAGTTTTGAAAATAAATAAATATGTTGTTTTTATGGCACAATTTTATTTTTCAAACATGGTCGGTGTCATGTGGTTGCAAATTCACTTGTTACCCCTGTATTCAATGAACCAATGCATTTTCACACAAAAATTATCCAGCAATGGATTACTTTTTAAAACTGTTGCAGGAATGAGTAATGGTAAAACAAACATAATCCAATTTAACAACAGTTCTTTCAATTTTCAATTCCATAAACAACAATCAAGGCATACCTTAGTATACTGAGTTTGTGAATATGAATATGATTAAACTACTAGCTACTTATGCAAGAAAAAAGTACATCTTTATCCAGTTGTATCTCTGCTGATAGCTTTACAAGGAATCGATCTTCCTCATGTGTGAGACAAAGCTATTGTCTCCAAGGCGATGGGCAGATCACACTGAAAGCCGCCTCGGCTTGTCTTACTTGTCCATATATCGCTAAAGTATGTAATTTAGCTGAAGACTTCATCCAAAGCAGTCCAGAATATATTTATTGTTGGACGGATGAAAACACTCCAGACCGTGTCATTATTCAAACTATTGCTATTTTGAGAAGCCACCTGATCAATCGAGTATCGCCTACCGCCCAGTGACGCACAGGAATCTATATAAAGATGCAGTGTGGAGGTATACATACGATAGCTTTTTTTTACTGAAAACTATTATTCTTGAACAAGACGTTCTATTCAGAAGATTGCTTTCCTTTTAACATTTACAAATATGTATCCTGATTCATTTCAATTCATGGTTTTAAGTAATCCAGTTATGTCCATACACGCTCAACTGTGCTCTTCAGCTGCTATATAATGATATGGTGTTATTATCATTCTAGAGTTGTTGAGGGAGCACGGGTGGCCCAGTCGTCTAAGGCGCCGCGATTCGCTGTGCAGAGTTGCGTCCCTTGGGTACGCCAGAAACCTATGATTGTGGGTTCGAATCCCGGTTCACCCCGATAATGTTTCTAGGTTTGTCAGCACCATACCCGTGCTCGTGGGTTTCACCGAAGTGGTAAACGTCTGAGACCTGCATCACTTCGGGCTCCCCCCCCCCCCCCCCCCCCCACACACACACACACATTAAGCTGACACACCGTGATATAACTGGAAGACTGTTAAAAGCGGCGTTAAACCCAACTCACTCACTCACTCGCTCACTTTAGTGTTGTTGGTTCCTGTTCAGTTTCCGCTCCTCCGATCCAATATTCATTCATTCATTCTTTCATTCATTCATGCATGCATTCATTCATTCATTTATGGTGCCCTTACTGTTGTTTTTATTAAACTTGGCTGAAATTTTCACTGAGGAAATTTACAAAACGCTAAAATATTTTAATCAATTATTTTATGCCAGACTGACTAAAGGTTATTAAGAAATTCAAAGAGAATTAAAAACATCACAATAGACTTATTATGCTGGGATTAAAATAACATTCATTAACTTATCATTTTCAGTCACTGGGGGAAGTAGAGCATAAAAATGTTTGGAATTCGTTATCATAATATTATAAATGGAAAAATAATTATAAAATGACTGAAATAGTTTGGCGTTTTGTAAATTGCCAAAGTGAAAGTTTTCGTCATTTAACACAGTGACTGTCATATACAGCATGCGAGTCACAGGCAAGTCAATGGTGTACTTATATCACATCAATTACAATTGACAGTTCACACCGCTTTTGAACAAAAGTTGACTATTGAGGTGAGGTGAAATGGGGTTTAGCGTCGCGTTCAAGATTATTACACTTATATAGCGACGCTGTGTGTGTGCGTGTGGCTACTTGTACTAGTCCGGACTGGTGTAGGGATTATAGTGCTAGCCCACTGAGATACCATGCCACAGTTTAACATGGATACCCCACTCAGGCACAGTATACTGACTCCGAGCTGAGCCTTGTCCCCTTAATGCCGAGCGCCAGGCAGGGAAACAACAAGTATGGCGTCTTCGGGTATGACGCGGCCGGGCATCGAACCACAGACCCTCTGCTCTCCGGGTCGAGTTGACTTGTGACGTAAATGGCTACAGGATGTTGGGAATGTAGAGATTCAGCTGGCGTTACCGTGGTTATGCATAAGTCTTCATACCAAGTTTAATAACATTACATCGTACAAAACTGGCATTTAAATGTATGGAGAATCGAGAGATGTCCGTCCGCTCATCCTTCAGTCTGTCTGCCCATCTATCAGTGAATCTGTCAGCCATTCTGACTTTCATTCTGTCTTTTTATGTCCGTCTTGTCTGCCCATGGGCCTTTCCGGACCAGCGCCCACCCGTTCGTCCGTCCGCCCACAACATGTAAATGTTCCTCTCCAGAGATTTATCTTGCACTTGAACACAATAAGGAAATATCTGGAATAATGTAAAATCCAACAAAAAAATGTCTTCTTCATTTTTCAGTGGATCAAACTTGAAACCTTCGTATCTTTAGCTTAGTGAGTGAACAACTCGACTGCAGAGGCGTTGACAAACCACAGTGCGTTGAAGAATCTCTTGTCTTCAAGTACATGTCCTCTGGCAAGCTATATTGTACACCTGTTTCCTAAAGTTCACGGGAAGAGTTTGAAACAAAAGTGTGGATCATATTTTATGTTGTTTCAGAGTTTTCGTTCGGTTTATATGTTTAATAAATGACTTCCCTTCGGGTTTTAATGGAATTTGAATAAGAATGAGGTTTTAAATCTGACAAAATCCCTCGGACACGTTATGTCGCACTGTTTAATCCCGTAACGCTTTCGTGAACCAGTGTGTGTTATGGCCTACAAAACGACCCCCAGATTCTGATAGGTCTCGAGGCGCTCTGGTCTCAATGTCACAAGCGTACCTTTGATCGCCATCTCTGCTGACAGGTGGAGTGGTCTTCAACACAATAAAACTCCTGCTTCATCTTCGAATATCAAGATCTTTGGTTTTAAAAGTGACAAGGAGAGATCACATCACTTACATCTTGGCTCGTCAAATGAACCACTGACGTTATGTAGTAACAGTTATATCTATCATTTCGACATTTCAGTGCTGGGAAGGTGTCCATAATTATAGAGCTCTAATGCTTTCCCCTGGCCGTGCCAGGCTCCGCTTCTCGTGGGTTCGAATCCCAGATTCCCACCGATTATGACTATTGGTCTATCAGCACCATTACCGGGCAG